TGCCTACCCACTGATGTGGCGAGGGCTCCCCAACCTCCGCTGCTGGGACTCCCCCACAGACACAATCCTTAGTGCCTGTTGCCTTGTCCAGACATCCGTCCCTGCTGGGCACCCTCAGTTGAGCCCGGTGGTGCTGAGTGGAGGTGCTGGGCAGTGCCTGGCTGCAAGGGGAACGGGTGGACGTGCTTGGCTTTCTGCAGCCACACGCATTCCCCCGCTCCCTGCCACCCTCTGTCTGCAAATCCGGAGCGGGCTGCGCTCCCAGCCCCAGTTTTCCTTGGGGTGGAGCTGCACTTCCTTCAGCAAATATTTTTGCAGTGATGCCTGCCCTGGCAAGGTGTGGAGCCATGCCTTCGTTCCTCCCTCTGCCAGGCACTGCTCCAGCCAGGTAAGCAGCCAGCTCTGCATGGCCTGGGATTAACCTCTTGTGTGTGCTGCAGGCTGGAAAGCTGGAAAAAAACAAACCCAGACCCATCTCTTGGCCTCCATCCTCCCCACAGGACATCCGCCATAGGTGTGCTGCCTCATTAGCCATGTATGCAGGAGTATATGGACTCAGGACCCCCATAGATGACTGGGGTGGGACAAAGCTTAAATCAAATCATCATCAGGTCTAACCCCATCTTCTGTGCTGGCCCACCATGCCCAGAAGTCCTTACTGGGGAGCACTGCTGGGAGCCATGGATCACTCTGCTAAGTCCCGCCCTTGGCTGGGCTCTGTTTGCCCCTGAGACAAGCCATGCCAAATTGAGGAGGGTTGGGATGTGAGTCCCACGGTCTAGCCTCCTCCCCAGCAGGATGACATATCTGCATGCACACTGGGGGACAGCCAGGAGCCCTCACATGAAAGGTGTGGGAAGGGTGAGCTTGCTGGGCTGCAGGTGCCCAAAACTTGTTTACCCTTGCCCTGGCACGGCAGTGCCGGTTGGAGAGGGCTCAAAGTCTGCCTCCACCCTGTTTACACCTGCTCCGGTTTCAAAGCTTCCTGAAGTGCCACAGCAGAAGGCTGGGGAGGAGAGGTGTCACCTCCCCACACCCACCATCCCTGGCAGAGCTCAGTGAACTCTGGAGGACCAGGGGACACAGCCAGCCACACTTCGTCCCATCCACAGACCAGACTAGGGATGCAGAGCAGAGATGCTGTGCTCCACTTGCACCCTCACAACTCCTGTCCCACTGGTGACCCAGGGGGGTCACGGTCCCAGAGGCATCCCCGGCACCTCTGCCCCACAGCCAAAGGGCTGGAAGGGCAGCATAGCAGTGCACGGACCACAGGCCAGGACCAGGATGTTCCCAAATCTGGGCAGAAGCAGCAGGCAGGCAGTTTATTAATAGCATCCAGAGGAGCTTTGGGTTGTTTATCTATCCTGCAGCAAACTCGGTTTGCTGCATTAATCCCCATCTGGAAATAATTCAGAGGAATCCTCTAGCTCAGCCCAGTCCTGAACCACGTGGAGCTGCAGCACCAGCTCATCCCACCAGCTTCTGTGGGCTATATGGGGACCTGAATTTTTAGGGAGTCCTGTCCCAAAACGCTCTTGCCCCCCAGGGGCTGCATTGCCCACTGTCTATGGCCACCTGGGAAAAAAAAAAATATTGAAAGCAAGGCCATTTCCAACTTTTGTGCTCAGAGGGACCAGGAGGCTGCAAACCCATCTCAGCTCCTCCACCAGCCCCTCCCGGCACCCCGCTGCACATCCCGATGGCACGTGGCAGGAGCAACGTTCCCAGTGTCCTGCCTAGCCAGGACAGGGGCCAAGCGCAGGTCATGCCTGGCCCCACTCCTGTGTTGCACACACTGGCTGCACCCCTCTGCAACTGCTGGCTGGCAACGCTTTGGGGTACTTTACCCCAGCAGTGTCTCCACCGCCCCTTCACACCCACTGCCAGTGCCTCCTCCAGCGGTTTTGGGCTGCACGCAGAACAGCGCAGCCAGGCCCCAGGGCCAGCACCAGGAGAGGCTGCTCCGAGCATCCGCTCTGCAAGGACAGCTCAGCCTGTGCTGAGCGGTGGAGGAGTTCCGCAAGGCACAGGGCTCAGCACCAGCCCTGCTCTGGCCAAGGGGCATAAATCAGGGTGCCCAGCCAGCATGCCAAGGCCAATCCCACAATGAAGGGATGACAGGACAGATAAAACTCCTTCAGAGACTGGCCACTGGCTGGCAGCAGCAGGGATGTGCACAGAGGCACACGGAAAGCGCCAAGCTTCACAGCTTAGGTCTGGTGCTGGCGGGATGCAGTGGAACAGGGGTAGGAGCACAGAGGCAAGGACCTGAGTCTGAAACCAGGGAGCTGTGAGTCTTTGTCACCCTCCACTGTTGGCAAGTTGGCACCCCAGGTGCCGGGCTAAGCACAGCATCCTGCCAGCACCTTTCCATGCAGCTGTGCCCAGAACAGGGATGGGGCCTTCCCAGATTTTTCCCACCGCCCAATGTGGAGTACTGGGAGAGAAATGGAGATAGGATGGAAAGTGCCTTAAGACTCTCTGTTAGCTTCTAACCCATCCATGAAGGCTTTAATTTATTGCCTGTTTCCATGTAATTAAAGATTCGAGGCAGGCAGACACCTGCCCCATGGAGTACCTGCAGCACACCATGCTTCTGCTGTCCTCTCTGGGCACCTCTGCCCTGGTACAGCCCTCGTGCTCTTGCTCGGGTGGCTGGAGTTCCCCAGGTTGGGTTCTGTTGGGAACATCTAGCTCTGACATTTTATGGCAGGTGACACCAAGTGGCAGAATTGTGCGTCGGCGCTGTGCATGGGGTGAGCGCTGCGCGTGGTGTGGGTGCTGTGTACAGCGCGGGCGGTGGACTCCTCTGGCTGCAGCCCTGGCACCCAGTGCAGGAGACAGCCCAGCACCGGGACTGCCCAGGGGACGTGGGATCCCCAGAGCAGGCTGGAGTCCCCTGCTGAGCACCGGGGGCAGCCGGTGGTGCCTGGTGCTGGGGTAGCACATGAGCTCATGAACCGCATGTAAAATGGATGCAGAAAATGGGCTGAGGAAGGACCGCAAGAGCTGCACAGGCAAGGCCAAGCCCTGCCCAAGAGCTGTGTTAGTACCACCCTGGTGCACTTCAGTCCTCCCCATTTGGCCGCTGTTAAACCACACTCAGCTCTTTGGGCTCTCGTCCTTGCACCCCCTGCTCGGGCTCAGGCAGGGAAAGCCATGCTGGCAGCGAAGGCATGACCTGGAAACACAACAGAGGGCCTTGTGTGCGGGCTGTGTGTGGGTGTGCAGGCAGGGAGGTGGGGAGAGAGGGTCAGGCAGGAAGAAACAAACCTGGCATGAGCCACAGAGCACAAGGCCAAGCAGGAGCTCCCATGGGCTCAGCTCTCCCGTACTGGAGCAAAGTAGGTGGTGGACAGATAAATCCAAAGAGCTGGAACAATGTAGTGTGGCCTCCTAACAACCCTGTCATCCTCAGTTTCAACTGTCCAGCTATCTCAGTGCCCAGATTTCTCATGGAAATGGCCAACAGAGCAAACACTTAAAGAAAAGCAATCTGGCAGGGCAGGTCACTTCTCGCTGTCCTGCTCCCTCCCTAGGCAAGGGCTTGCCCAGGGCTAGCCTGAGGTTTACCAGCAAGTATGACCAAGGCATGGTGCCCAGGAGGGCTAACAGAGTGTTGTTTAATAGGCGTGAAGCTTTCAGAGTGCTGGACATGCTCCCCAGAGCATCACTGCACTGTGCCAGGCTCCGGTGTGGACACTCAGTGGGAGTGTCCCTGCTGCAGAGCCTTGCATGGAGAAGCCCTGGGCCAGGGACCAGGGAACATCCACAATGGCTGGACCAGGCTTCTGAATTGTCAGAGGGGCAGGTGGTCAGGATGAGGTGTTGGGGGCATCCTCATCCCCCCATGTTGCACGCTAAACCCCAACAAGATGGACAGCAAGCACTGAGCAAGCTGAAGCCCTTCCCAGGCTGCCAGCACAGTCCCGTGACTTCTGTCCACACACGGGTCTGAGGCATGGTGTGTGGTCCCCCAAAATGGTCCCAGACTCATGCTCAGCTCTCGAAGGCTGCCATCACCCCACAGCACAGGCACGTCTGACAGCAGCCACGTCGGGGGAATGGTGCTGGAGGCACCACATCTTGGCACAGCCCCACCGGCTGCTGGGTGACTGCTTTCTCTTTGCATGAGCCCTTGGTGGCTGAGTTGGGCTGGGACCTGCCAGCCACCCGGGGATGCTCCTTGTCAGCCTTGATGGCAAGGAAGGTGGCCAGGTCAAGGTCGAGCATGACGACACCACCGCGCGGCGTGGGCGTGTTTTGGCGGCACTGCGGGCAGGGGATCCAGCGCTGCTCGTTGGTGACAGCGTCGAGGCGTTTCAGGCAGGCTTGGCAGAAGGTATGGCCGCAGTAGAGCCGGCGTGGCAGCCGGCCGCACAGGGCGTAGGAGGAGTAGCAGATAATGCACTCAATGCGCCGGCTGCCCCGGCTTGGGGTGTGCGAGTGCACCCCAGCACACGTCCTCACGTCCTCTGCCTGGGAGCTGCCGCTGTCCTGGGACATGCTGGGGAGGGGAGGACAAGGGGAGCCGTCAGCCCTGTGGCTGGGGGGGTGTCCAGGCATGAGATGCCACCTCTGAATGCATCTGACATGGGGGCCAGTGCCATGTGGTGGGTCCCCAGTGGCATCAGGCTCCCTGTCCAACATCCCTGCCTGCTGCTTGCCTGCCTGGAGGAGCAGGACCCTGCTACTGCAGTGGGTTTTCCCTGCATCCATAGGGGATGTATTTTCCCTGGTGCCACACTGCATCCCTGCTTGGAGCTCTGTCAGGTCTGCCAGCCCATGGGGAATAAGTGCTGACCAGAGACCTCAGCAGCCTGCTCAGGGCTGCCTGGGCCCTGGGTCTGTAGGGAACATGGGGTGGGCAGGAGTGGGTTGGCCGGGTGGGCAGCGGAGCAGCGCTGAGAGGACCAGGCAGTGCCAGAGCCCTGCTCCGCACCAGCCCTGGGCTGTGCCAGGCTGCCATGGCATGGCTGTCAGCAGCAGGGGATGGGCTTGCAGGCTGGTGGGGAGGAGTCAAGGGGTCCAGCCTCATCTCAGGTGGGGTCTGGTACCCACCAGCATATTTACAAACCTCTCCCAGAGGCCACCAATACCCCGCTCCCTCTCTATGGGTGACCTCAAGAATTTTGGTGTACATGGGTACCCCTTCTCCTCCCCTCCTCCCTATTCCCCCATCCCTACCTGTCCTGAGATGCTTCCCTAGGGCCTCAGGAGAGGTGGCAGAAGGGCTGCGCTGTCTTGGGGGCTTGTGGCAGTCCTGTGGGGAGCAAAGCCACAAGCAGCTCCCCAGCCAGGTCCCGGTTGCTGCTGATGGCTGTGGTGGTGGGAAAGAGCTCACCTTTCAGGAATAGGCACGTTATCGGATCTGCTGCCAGAAAGCCAAGCCCAGGAGATTGGGTTACAAGCACCCGGATAACAAAGACCTCTGAAATATAAACCCCAGGAGCTGTCATTTACCATCCATCTTTGCTTCATTAGCTGAAGAAACCATCCCTGTGAGGCGAAGAAGCTCTGGGCTTCACTGTGGGCAGAGAGGGCTTAGACATCGGCTGTACCTGGGTGGCAGCAGTGGAGTCTTCCACATGCTCAGCCACCCCCCATGGCCAAGAACACCTGGGCAGATGTTGGCCAGCAGAGACACCCTGTCACACTCCAGCCCACACATCCCCAGGTGCTCCGGGCTGTGGGGATGGCTGTCACCAGAGGAGGGTACAGCAAGACTCCAGGCTCACAGGGGTGGAGGGGCTGGGGCTGGCATGGAGACACCGAGGTTCCAGCCTGGTTGGAGCTGGCAGTGCCCACACTACGTGGGGTAGAGCTCTTTGTCCGGTGCCTGGAGGTGGTCGCTGCCACAGGTGCATCCATGACCTGCCCCTGCTCTTCCAGCTGGGGCTGCAGGCGTTTGCATCGGGGACTGCGTTACCCTCCACTCTGCCAGGGCGGATGCTCATCACCAGGCTGGGAGAGCCTGGCACCCCCCAGTGACACCTGTAAGGCACAATCTGTGACCCAGGGTTGGTGACAGCGCTGGGGTGGTGGCAGACTGTCAGCCCCCTGCACAGCCCTTGGTGACAGCGATGCTGCAGCCCCTGCACCGAAAGGGGAAGGTCTCAAACGAGGAGTGTGGTAGGGAGACAGATCCTGGAACCAGGATTCTGGAGGAGAACAGCACATCCTGGGGCCGGGTGAGGACTTCCATGGCACCCGGCAGCATTTCTGCGTGGGAGCAGGAGAGGGCAGTAGCTCCAGGCAGGAGCAGGCAGCGGTGCAGGCAGGGCGACAGGCAGCGCTCTCCTGTCCTGCCTGCTTAGCAAGCATTTCAGCAGCCCTCGGGCCATGATTCCAGCGCTCCCCGGCAGCGAGAATCGGGGATTCTGGCAACTGAGAGCCTCACAGGGCCACCAGCCTCTGCAGAAAAACTCGATTTTCTGCAAAAATTTTTGCAGAAAAACAAAAAAATGCCGGTGTTTGGGAGCAAGAAGCAGAGCCGGCAGCGCAGAACATCTGGGGACACAGTGGCCATGTCTGACACAGGATCCCGATACATCCTCTGCCACAGATTTCCTCAGGCACATGGGGTGCATGTGCCCATGGGTCCCCAGGCACGGGGATGGCACCCCATGGCAGGCATTTGCCCTCCCTCCCCTTGGCAGGCTGGCGGCGTGGGTGTGTTTTGGCAGCACTGCGGGCAGGGGATTCAGTGCTGCTCGTTGGCAACGGCATCAGCTTGAGATTAGGATGTGCTGGGGACCTGGATTTTGGCCAAACCCACTAGCTGAGGTGGGGGCAAGGGCCATGTGCCCTGGGGGCATCGGGAACCAGGTACATGGGATTTCCACTGTGCCCTGGCACCTCAGGGTACTACCCTGCATGCCTTTTGGGGGGGTGGCAGCAACCTGGGTGCCAGCAGCCCGGGGATGCGCAGGCAGCCGGATGCCAGGTGATGCCCGGTGATGCTCGGGCATGTTCCAAAGCTAGCAAGATGTCACTCTCCCACCCAAAGCAAAGTGGCGGCCTGGCTCACCTGCCTGGAGCAAGGTACAGAGCAGGCATGTGTCAGTCCCTTTGGGCCGTAGGAAGCTCTGCCCAAAAACACTATAGGGGTGAGAGGATGGGCTTAGCTCTGTGCACAACTGAAGGTACCTCTGGCACTGCCCAGGGCAGTGACCCCACCCTGGGCTGTCTTTCCTGCAGAAAGGAGCACACACCCTGACTGCCCTCCTACCCTACCCTACCCCATCCCCTGCCCATCAGCCCTCATGCCCGTCTCCCAGATGCCAGCAGAGCTGTGTCTCACCGAGGGGTTGTGCCCGGCTGCCCTTGGCCACTTCCGCCCATTGCATGCAAACCCCTGGGGTGGAGCTGTGCACCCTGGCTCACCTGCCCTGCACCCTACAGGCAGGGCTTGGGGTGGGGGGAGCCCTTGGTGACACGGTTGTTCATCTGCCAAGCCACACAGGGTGACATCAAGGGACAGGCTGCCTGAAACCAGCCTTCAGCCCTGGCTGGAGTCAGTGAACCCTGCCGAAACATCCAAACAGGGGCACAGGGAAGGCGGCGACATGCATGGGTGGGAAATGTCTTTTCCTGTTCCCAGGACTCACCCCCAAGAACTGCAGGGACCTTTAGCACGGTGGGGCAGGGAGCGGCACCCTCAGGGGAGTGCAAAGGTCTGATCCAAATGAGCCAGAGCCAGCATTCCAGATGCAGGAGGTGGAAATCACCCAGCACAACCCCCCGCACCCCTGAGCACCCTTTGAAGATGAAATGCACTCAGGGGGCACCCATGGGATCCTGTACATTGCTGCCCATGTCACCCAGAGCCCCACTGAGGTCTGGCACAGCATCCTGTGCTCGCCCCTGCTCTCACCCCCAGCTTTCCTGCTACCTCCAGCTTAATCATTGCCTGGGTGTCTGGCAGGTACTTCTCTGCCTGGCCTCTCCCGCCTTGTTTGCCGTCACCCCAAGGTCAAGCAGAGTGAAGGGCAGCAGTGGCACATGGCAGTGCTGGCAGATGCTGTACCCTGCTCGCACCCTGCCTGAGCCAGGCCAACACGTCCCTCGCTCCTCAGTCCTCCATAACCTGGGGCTCTGCCAAAGGTGCCACACACCCTAGGGGATAGTTTTCCCTCCCCAAACCATGTGTGTCCTCACCAACCATGTCAGACCCCGGGCACTGAGCAGCCTCTGCAGGATGCGGGTTTCAGCCAAGCCAACATGGTGACGTCCCTGCCCCACCACCCAGCCGGGCAGGGCTGGAGTCAGGGCCATGAAAGCAAACAAGGGGTGGATCTGCCTGTCCTCAGGCCAGCACTGCCCGCAGTCCCGGCCGGGTGAACAAGAGAGCTCGTTGTGCAGGGCGGGCAGCATGGAGCTGTGTCCCTGCCAACCTCTTCCTGCAAGCTGCACAAGCCCTGGCCACCCACCGGCATGGGACCTGGTCCAGGCAGAAGGGGCCAGGGTGGGGGGCAAACTGGCAGGGCTCTGCCCTGCATGTCTGCCAAGCCACTGCCACCCCGCCCCAGAAGCTCCCAGGGGCGCTGGGATTTCAGGGGTGGTGGGCTTCCAGGCAGTGGAGGGTTCCTGGTAATGGTGGGCTCCCAGGGGTGGTGGGCTCCCAGTTCTGCTGGCATCTCAGTGGTGGTGGGATCCTGGTGATGGTGGCATCTCAGTGGTGGTGGGATTCAAGTGGTGGTGGGATTCCAGTGGTGGTGGGCTCCAAGAAGCGGTGGGCTCCAAGAAGTGGTGGGCTCCCAGCCCTGGTGGGCTCCCAGGGGGTCCCAGCCAGTCAGGGCAGTGCCACAAAGCCCACTCAGTTGGCCCAGCCAGGAACCTACCCCTTCCCCAGCGCTCCCCAAAGCCGGGCTCTCTCTTTCCAAAAGAACAGGACAGCCACCCAGCTTGGCAGGGCCGGGCTGAGGACCAGCCAGCGTCCCCAGGCAGGCAGGAGCAGGCCGTGCTGGGAACACCTGGGCGAGGGGAGCATTGGGCCCCGCTGGCAGCAGGCAGCAGTGAGCTGAAGAGCTCAGCGTGCCGCTGCTGCAGGTCAGCAGTGCAACAGTTAAGCTGGTTTTGAGGGGAGAGGAGAGGGCTGTGTGCCACCTGCACTGCCCTTACACAACCCACCAGGATAAGCAAGAAGTAACGCGGGAATCCCGGAAAACCCAGGGCGGAGGGAAGAGGCGTACCTTGGCCGGGGAGGAGATGGCTGTAATTTTTATTTGCAGCACCCTGAAGTCATCTGCTAACACACACGCTCTTTCCAAGCCCCGGCCCTGCAGACCAGGCAGTTCCTGCAGCAACCGCGGTGCTTACGCAGCTGCCGCCTGGCAGCACAGCCACCCGTGAGACGCCAGCACAACGGCAGGCTTGTTCCAGGTCGGTGACGCCAGCCCCAGCCAAAAATCCAGCCTGGAGCTGCCCCAGCACGCTGCGAGGAGGCCAGCAGCCTCCTCCCTCGCCTGCCTCAGTGCCCAGGGGGTCGCAGAAGGCAAAAGATGGGGCTCTGCATCCCAAAAATGGGTTTCCCAGTGCTCCCTGTTGCCAGAGCTGGCCCTGCCCTCACATTGGACCCAGCCCCGACTCGGTGTGAAGCCCTGAGCCAGGATGGGGTGAGGGGTCGTGCACAGCACCCTGCAAGCTTGGCAGGAGGAACCGAATGGGGCCGGGGGGTTCCTGGCACTGGGACATTAACAGCCATACCTGCCCTGGAGCACTGCCCAGCACTCTGCCATGCCTTGTCTGTCTGTCCTTCCCGTCTCCTTCCCACTGTCCCATGGGCAGTGTGGCAAGGGAGGAGCAATACCCAGACAGAGCTTGGTGCAGGGCATGGCAGCATCCCCATGATGCTTGGGGGATCCGGACTGCTCAGTTCTGGGGAGGGGGGTCCCCATCCCAGGTAGGAGCATGTCCCTGGCTCCTCACCACCGCCCCAAGACAGCAACAACAGTGTCCTCTGCCACACACACAGGGCTGCCGACATCCAGGCTACCCTCCAGCAGGTGGGCAGTGCCTGCACCTTCCCAGAGCTGGAGGTTTCCCAGCAAGGGCAGACTGGCAGGGTCAGTGTACAGCATCGTAGTGCTGCCCCATCCCCAGTGAAGGCACTTCTTGGTGGCATCTGCATTGGCACACATCGACTTCATCTCCCAGGCCTCAGCAGGGCAGGAGGGACCCGTCCTTCTCCCCCCCGCCCCACACTGGGCTCTCAGGACCTGGCAAGTGCCCATCACCGGTGTATCTGGCTGCAGAACTCAGAGGTGAAAAGCAACAGCAGAGTCCAGCCAGTGCCACCTCCCAGCTGCCAGCTCTGCTGAATGCCAGGGCAGGTCCCCAGGGTGTCCAGGCCAGGCAGCCACGTCCTCACAGGGCCACCTGGCCCGGGCCCACAGTCAGCACGTCCCGCGGGTGCAGCAAGGGCCTTCAGGAGATGACACAGCAGCACTTTCTGCAGCAGGGGCAGCACCTGCAGTAGCCGCATCCCCCATCGGCCTTCTGCTCCTGGCCCTTGGGGGTCTTGTCCAGGGTGACAGTGTAGAAGGAGTTGGGCGATTCCCCGTTGGGTGATTCCCCGTTGGGCATCCTCAGGCTGGCATAGGGGTTGTAGGGACGGGACCAGGACTTCCCCGTGGAAACAGTTGGGCTGTTCCAGCTGGCACCGTGTTCCGCCTGCTCCTCTGTGCCATAGGTGGGCACGGCTGCAGGGTTGGCGATGACGGTGGGCTCATCCTTCAGGTAGCAAGTGATGAAGCTTTGCTGGAACTGGTCCCGTGGGATGTTGACACTGGCGTAGGGGTTCTCCAGGCTGATGCCACGATCCATCTCCCTGTTTGTTGCCAGCATGTGCGGCCCGGCTGGCATTGCCCACCTCCTGCGAGACAGAGACCCCGTTAACCCGGAGTGCTGGGGGTGTCAGTGCTGGGGGTGTTCTCACAGCACAGGAAAGGGACCCCCAGCAGACCCCACTGGTTT